AGTCTCTTTCAAGTTCACTTTTGTCAAATTCGAACATAATATAGTTGGTTAATTTTCGAAACAATATGTCCCTAAAATCGTTTTCTATTATTACACACAACAACCGTATATAAGCCGAGTTAATAAATGAAATTACCGAGACACTCCTAGTAGTTAGTAGTAACAGTAGACACATTTCTCGGAAACTCATTATCGTTTTAGCAACACGCTCACCAACCTCCATATCCGACACGTGCTGTGTTAATTTTTCTTTAAAACGCAGATGTGTTCTCGATTTCAATTTAGCGTAGTGTCAATTACCCGAACCTAAACAAGTTGTTGAAATATCAAAGTTATTACCACTGCAAATTAAAACATTTATATAAAAATTATGAACTAAAACCTGTTACGTTGATTATTTTTAAAAAGGCCGTTAATTAACCTAACTAGTTTACAAAATTTTGGTTAGAAAGTTTATACAAAAATAGTTCTGCAAAATTCACTCTGTTATGTTCAGTGAAAATTTGAGACTTTAGCTCTTCTCTTTACTATATGTGTGTATGTGTGTGTGTGTGAGTACACATATTATATATATATATATAGTATATCTATACAGATTCGTTTCTAACTGACGCATCCATGCGTAACTCCGCACATTGGGGCGCGCTCAGCTAAAAGCACAACTACTGGCAGGTGGCTACACCCGGTGGTATCTAGTAGCTGTGGATAATGCGGGGGAGGCGTGCTTAATATTAACAGGATGCTATAGAGGCCGCGCGTGTTGTTCCTACGTAATTTCCTCCTAAACGTACTAAGGGATGCCCATGCATATTTCAGGACAGCAGATACGAGAGCATGAATGCGTATCCTTGTGTAAACGCGTTATGCATAGGGTGTTCCAAGTTCTGCTAAACTTTCTGCCTCTCCGGCAGAAACTTTTCCCTAATTTCGAGTTTATTTCTCAAGACATATGTGTGTGTGTGTTCTAGCATTTTCTGTGCTACGGTCTATTAAGAGGCAACTTTTACCAATTCAAGAAATGCAACATGTAACAACACAACAGCATATGCTGATTATTTATAATGTTGAAAAATTGTAAAGAATAAAAACTCAAACTTAAAAACAATTTAAGCTAATATATTTAAGACTAAACTGTTATTCAGTCAAATTTTTTCTTTAAAATTGTCGAAGAGTTAGGAATTTAAATAATAGAAGTTCTAAGAGAGGAAATTGCTGTTGAACAGAAAGTGTAAGTGATCTTGGAACACCGTGTACATATATGTATAATCACGTCGGGATATAGCGGCGCCGATATCGCGAATAGGAGCTTTGCTAATCACCACGAACCGTCTGATACTGACATTTATTCAGGCCGGAATTAGGACTCCGTACATTCCGTACTTGATATTTACATGTCTCTCGTTGCAAACGTAAACATTTTGAACACGTGTGTGTAGAATGTATATCGATATTTGCAATTAATTACTAAAACTTAGCTTTACATCGAACAGAAAATAATTTTGCACAATCGTGATACATTTATGCGAATTCCTTTTGTTTGAATTCACATTAATGTGTTCACTTTATCGTAATAACCTTATACGACTGTGTCAGTACAAGGTTATTACGATAAGGCGATTACAATTGTGAATACAAATTAGAAGAAAGAAAAATACAGCGTACAAAAACTATTACCGTGCATTATATATAAAATATTATTATAGCACACAACACACAATGTGCGTAAATATTTTATCTGTCATTTCACAGATGCGAGATAATATTTTCATTAGAATTAAAAAAATTGTTGCCACAAAAAATTATGCCCACCCTGACAATTTTACTTAAATATTCTATTAATAGATATTGTTATCTCTTGTAAGCATTTTGCACTGGTATATATTATATAATATATAATATATATATATTAATTTATGAATATATTTTAATTTCTGTAGAAATACAATTTCAAGTCTCTCCCTTTCTTTTTTCCTTTATTTATCTCTCTTTATTTCTATATACATATATATGTATATATGCATACTAAGTAAAATTAAAAAAGTAGAATAATTAAAAATTATTAAAAAAAGCACCATAAAAATTCTGCATCTGCAATGGCAAAACATAAAATAATAAAAACATTTTATGGCTTTGAATATTTTATAGAATGTATAGAATTTATAGATATATTTATTTATTTATTTATTTATTTATTTATTTATTTATATATACTATATGTATCTCTTTATTATTGTTGTTGGGTTTAATGAAAAAAATTTCTTTTTGTTTTCATTTGAGTTTTCGATAAGACTGAAAATCGCAATATGTAAACACAATATGTAAATTTCTTATATAGTATTAGAATAAGTGATCTTCGAGCGAGGGATAAATCCGCAGAAAATAGTCACCGATTTCCGCGGATAAGATACTGCAATATGGAATAATATTCTTTTACTATCTTTTCTCTGCCTTTTGCGGTGAAACCTGCTGCAGTTGCAGCTGCAACCGGTCATAAGGATGCTGGCATCGGTGCACGTGCTCGCAGCAGCAGCAGTAGCAGCAGCAGCAGCAGCAGCAGCAGTAGTAGCACAGCAGCGTTTCCGGCACGGACTTATTTCACTATTTTATTAGTTTAAATATTCACGACGGTAGCGCGATAGTAACAACAGAAAGCCGTAGAAAAACACAGTGAAATACGGCACGGGTCTCTGGTGCGCGCGAGGGCGTACAGCGCTATCGTATAAGGAATACAGGTCATTGTTGCATCTTTAATGCGTTGTACAAAAGCGGCACGTGAATAAATTGAACGTTGCCGCCTCGACGTGCAACCACAGCAATGCAGCGCGCTCTTATTGTTACATTTTTCTTTCGAATGCATCAGCTGCATATCGGCAGTATACTTTATCTGAAATGTATTTGTAACATAGAGATTTCGATACGCGTCGTCTCGCGCACGTTTTCATATGTTCTCCTGCTATGACGCATTTCGTTTCACAAATAACACTGTTGCAACTGTTTGTTCAACATTAAATTATTGAATATATGCATGCGTGTGTGCACAATGCAGCGCTAATAAAAATGAAAATTCATTCTGATCTCGATAATCTTGTAAAAATTACATACGGGGTATATACACACACACACACACACGCAGTTACGACTCTTGCGACAGGTAAATTTGACGTACGGCCTCGTCTTGATAAAGCAAAATATTACAGCGTTAACAACCGTTAATGAATGAAAACAAATGGCAGACGCACATGCAATGCTTCATGGTTGACACGCGTTTGCCGCGTAATAATACCCTAGAGACTTTGTTACGGATGGCGTATGCATGGTCATTTGTATTGCAATAACGAAGTAACAAACGTTTCAATGAAAATTGACGTTCGTTGCCTTGTTTAATACATCCGCACATGTGACGATACCGCGCCGTGTGTGTGAGAGATCATTTTTTTCTCGTACGCTCGAAATTAATATTCGTTCATTTTGTTCAAAGGCGCAATTGATCTTATCGCAGATTCAACGCAAACAATTTTTATCGCGATATTTCATTTATGAGAGACGTATAAAGGCAAGAAAACATTTGCTTACGAAGTGGTTTTTGCATTTTTGAAGCTAAAGTTTGAAATAAAAAACGTTTTTTTATTCCAACAACAAAATTACGAGATCGACCGAATGTTAATTAAAAAAGTTTAACCGCCGTTTTATTTACCGGTAGAGAGCACGATCACAATAGACTACATTAGTCATTAAGAAGTAAACATCTTATTAGGGGGTTTCGCCTTGGCACGCTACGCTCCAAGCCTGAATTTAATGGCGGAGGAACGAAATGGCTTCTCAGACCATTTCGCTAAAGCTCGTTATCTCGTTAACGATCGAAGCGTCTATTCGTCTATTTCGAGCCGCGTTTCAAGACAGGCACGACTGCATCCTATTAGAAACACAAGCAAAACATGACTGCGAAATGCGTAGCGCCAGAAATTAATACGTAAATATATGTGCACAATTGTTATTTATTATAAGATAAAATCGCGAAAAGGTGAAAAACAATTGTAAGATGTCAGTCACACACACCATATTTTTCGCGTCAACTTTTGATCGTAAAATAAAACGTGAAGAGAGAGAAGATTATCGTATAAATAGCTTCATCAATTTTCGTTTATATCTGTAGCGTTCGTTCTTACGTAAGTTGCGTTTTGCTTTCAAGTCGTACATGCATTTCGCGAGATTCGTAAAATTATATAATAATTTCTACAATATAATGCTTTTCTAACTAAAACTGTTATTTTTTTCGCGTTAAATATTATCGTAATATAGTGTGTCTACAAGTTAGGAAACCACGAAAGAATCGATTTTGAATCCATCAGCAAATTTGTTTCTAGCACATATCTGATACATTTGGGATATCTTATGTATCTCCAGTGTACATAAAATGTATACTGTCAATATCGTCAGCTAGAGATATGTTCTCTGCACGAATATAGTTCGAACACATGCATAAAAAGTGTATCCTAAAGAGCAAATATTTCTCTCTCTTCCTCTCTCTTCCTTTCTCTCTCTCTCTCTCTCTTTCTCTCTCTCTCCCCGTTTAATACTGTCTTACCACATATTTTTAAGAAAACATATATATTTGATCTTTTTATTCACAAGTTTTGACTCTGTTTATTTTTGTTACTTTTATAATCGCACACAATGTTATTTTTGATCAATTTTTTTTGCTTTTTTTTCTGTTTTATCTCGCGGAACACACGACGCGATTAATGGATGTTTCGCGACGGCCTGCGTATCTCCAAGTGCATGGTGCAGAATAGAGCGCATGATACCGCTTAAATTATATTTTAGGAACCAGAGGGTTGGTGCGCCGCGCAAGCAGGAAATGGGCGAGTGAAGCAAAAGGGCGGGGAGAGCGGGAGTGAGACGCGAATGAATAAAAGAGGCGCTTTAAAGGGCAACGGCGATATGATTAGAGAAGAAACAGGGAAAGCGGGGAGGGCCTGGTGAGAGTATGCAAGCCTCACCTGTACTTTGGCCACCACGTAGTTTCTGCTCGGGCCTCTCGACCCTCTCCTCACTCGGCGGAGGTGGTCTCTCTGTCCTTTTGGTATAGGGGTTGTACGAGGATGGCCACACGGTGGTCAGCCTTTTTGGTGGCGGTGGCGTGCTCGGCCGTCCTGAAAATAGATTAGGACCTTTCTCATCTAACCCAGGCACTCTCCGGTTTGCCGCCTTTTTTTGTCTTACACTCTCCAATAATCCACTCCCTCCTGTTCCCGTTTTCTTTCTCTCTCTTTCTCTCTTTCTCCCACTCTCCTCTCTTTCGTGCTTTTACACGATTTTTCGTAATCACATATGCGCGCTATTCTACACCATACAAGGCCGCAGCACCACGAAAGTCAGTGATGAAAATTTGAATAATATAAAGAGATTAATTGTGACCCAACTATTGCGGAGCATTTTACAAGTGATCTCTTAAAGGTCAATGACCTTTAACAAAAGATCAATAACCTTTAGTGAAAGGTCGATGACCTTTAACGAAAGGTCAATGACCTTTTCTTAAACCCTGTATAACTAATTATTATATTATTAGAAATCTAAAACCCTGCGTAACTCTAATTAGTATATCATTAGATGTGTAATTGCTATAATATCGCAAGCATTCTTATTCAGCTGCATTCCTCGACTGCTACATTACTCGCGACAAGCACAACTTAACTTTACAATACAGACACGACGGAAAACATACGCGCGAGAGACGGACGCGTAGAGGGTGCAGATTTGATGAATTCTATGAGCTTCTTTGAAAACGAGCCAAGTTCAACTTGTTGCGTTCGATGCTAACGGATGTTCCAGTGAATAAAATGCCTTCTTCCTCCCCCGCCACAGAATCTCGCCGTAAGAAAAAAGCAATGGTGTCCGCGATTATCTACATCTAAAATGATTCTAATTCAAGTCTCAAATAGAGAGATAAGTATTATTTAACATTATTTTATTTTACTTCTGACATAAAGAAAATTACTTTTTATTTGCCATTTGATAAAAGAGCCAACCAATAATTTCGTCCGCTTTGTACGACGTAAAACCAATTCGATAGCGGAAATAATAATAATAATTCTTGAAAAGTAAACTCTACGTATACCAATATAAAAAAAAGAAGTACCTATGTTTCTCGGTATTGGAGTTGCTTTATCGCATTACTGAACAATTCTCTCGACGATCGCAATATCGCATAAATGTCTAACAAATACTACTTGTCATCGGAACGATGCGCGCGCAATGTCTAATTCGATTGTATTGTCAGCAATATAAGATTATGGTCGCGTCTTATCTTTGTAAATATACCGAAAGTATATAAGTCCCGCGAGAGAGAACCGCGTCCTTCTCGCCGGCGTTATAGATTGAAACTTTACTTACACGATAATTCTGTACAGTGCGTATCAACCTCGGGTGTAATTCAAGTTGATATTCGCCACGGGGCCTGTATACTTCTACTGCGCGGGATACTACTCCGTGACTTGGTAGCAAGACGCTTTGACGCTTATTTCGTTCCCCATAATCGTGCAGATTATTCAAACTACCGTCGTTCCCGCGGTCCCGCGCGTGTCGTTCGTCGATGCGATCCCGAAAACTATGTCGCGAAGTAATTCGAAGTATATGAATTATCCCCGACCGCCAGCTCGTTGCAGAAAAATGTTCAAGTTGTAAAAAGAACATATTGCATGTACGTATATGTTTTTGTACAGATAAATAATATAGATTAACAAGTAGAAATTTTGTATAAAAATGAAAGAAATATTTCTCCAAGAAAAAAAAAATGTCACGTATCTGTTAATGATTTTTGTATTTCTGCCAGCTTGAGAAGAGTTTGTCGTGTTTTTATTTACGCGACGATATTGAATTGTTTAAGAAAGTGTGTAAACTTGAAAAATTTCAATAAGTATACTACTAAGACGGCCATTTAAACACTTGGCGTGTGGTGTACGAACGTCTCTTTTAATTAATTCCCTCGAGTGAACCCGGTCTCTCTGTTTGAGTCGCTCTCGAGCACAATCCGGCATTCTGCTGCTTGACAGTTAGGTCGACAATGTGTCCTTAAGCTTCATACACATCTCAAGTTTTCCACTCTTTCAGTTCTCTCTCTCTCTCTCTCTCTCTCTCTCTCTGCTTCTCTTTTTCTTTTTTCTTTGTTACACCCTACGGTCTTTCTGGTTTGCAAACAAGCAGCCCTTTAACCCGTCCAGCCGCTAACTTGGCGCGAGAGTAGGTAGATACTAAAAAGTTTTCGAATAAAAGTTTAAATACGTCCAAGACAAAGTTTGTTTCGCCGCGACCGTTCTAACAATGTGGCGGCTTCTGGGTCACTCGTCTTTATACGGCGGGGGAGGGGCACGTGGCGAGCGCGCATCTTTGTGCAATATTCACACATATGTTAATGTCGCGAGATGGCTACATACGAATAGCGGCGGCAGCCTCTCTCCCGCTGGCAGCAATCACAACGAAGCTCGTATTTCATCCGACCCCGTCTCCTTTTGTTGCCCTTTTCCAAGGTGCGTCGAGGCTTGTTTAGGAAGTTTTGAAATAACTTGTTGAAAATTTAAGAGTCTCACGACGCCTCCTCCAAGTGCGAGCACCAAGAAGAATTTGTTTTGCGAGGACAGAAGAGTGAAGAAGAGAGAGAGAGAGAGAAAGAGAGGAGAACGGGAAAACAGATTCGTGTGAGCGCACAGTCGAGGAAAATAGAATCGCGAGATAACATCATTAATAGCGCGGAACCACCCCTCTCCTTCTAGATTTATCGGAGACATTTTCGCGAAACATTTTCGTTTGATCGATTACTCAATTGAACGAATTGGAAGAAAACACAATAAAAGGTCCGTATTTAAAATGGTGTCAACATAACAAACTATTTACAGAGAAATTGTAAGTAAATTATATAAATTATATTTATCACGTTTTTTTTCCTTCAATTACAAATACGTCGCTTTAAAATAAGTTGCTCTACTGTTGAACTTCTATTAATTATGATTTTTTAAATAAATTGCGTTATCGTTCACAGCGCGCATAATAATAATATCTCACGCGCGATGAGATCTAGATATTGCATGCTAGGGTACGTATAGTCTACTTACTGCCAGAAATAATTTTGTGCCTCCTTCGGGCTTCAGTTAATTATGATTGGCAAGATCGATAGTTATTTCAAGATAGTTATTTTGCGAGGCAACTAACACGCGGGAATTATTGAATACATCGTACAAGATTCGGGGCTTTTTTTTATAGAATTAGTATAATTCGAGCAAAGAGAGGATGAATAATTTAGCATCGACATCGGAGCAAGGTTAAAGAATACGTAAGCAGACGTTATTTTAATTAGTAACGAAATCAACTCGACAGAATTGAAAAGAGGGATATTTTTATTCACTTTCAACGCACGAGTTACAAATGATATAAAACTATATATAAATATACTCTAACACAATTCTCTTATTAAATTTACTAATAATAAAATTATAATATTCTGATATTTCTGATCAGTAAAACATTGTATTATATAATATATTTTTAATGTTTTGTTTTTCTTATATGTGGCACATATCGATCCTTTGTTTATAAACTTAAAAAAAAACAATTTATTATAGAAATAATAATTACGTAAATCAAGTTGATTGATTACACGCAAATGTATTTATTACGCGATGAGATTCTTACAAAATTATTTTTTCACTAAGCTCTTCTGTTACGATATTCATTATTAAAAACAAATACCGTCTCGCTTTACAAACGGGAATTGTCGGTGCATCTAACAGACCGTTTTCAAAAATGCTTCTTGGAAAATTAGATCCGCGGTTAATATAGTTCCGCGATTTTCTCTTTGGAGAGGACAGTGGTACTCTCTAGCATACCGCCGCCAACAATGCAATCTGTGCTGCGTGCGCCCCTCTCTCTGTGCAGCGACGTCAGTAATTGAATTTTAAATGCGCTTAATTAGGTCACCAGTTAAGCCACCGATGTAATACCGCGATATAAAATTAAAACTTGCGTTTTGATTTTGGGGACAGAACTGAACGTGATTTTTTTTAATTACGCGCGAACGAGCTAATGAAAAACTTAACACATGAAAGTAACGTCATATCATATCGAGCATTTACGCGAGTTGTGTTTCGTTTTTTGCCAACTTATTCCCAAATCAGCGTAAAACGAATGCAAATTTCCGTAGGAAGTAGTGATTCTGTATTTCTCTTGCGTTTAATTCGCATTGATTTTTAATATTCTCATTTCTCACCTTATTGTTCTTTTTTTCAGATGCAAATTGATCACGTTTTCGTTCAACCGAATATTCTCTATCCATTAACCGACTTTGGACACGTCGTCGCGTGCACGTTGCATCTCGAATCGTAGATCGTTCGGTAAATGTGGCGTAATCTTATCTGAGCAGATAAGACGAACGGCAGTCCCATTGGAAACTCTGCTAGACGCTTAACGTCGTGTTCGTAAGTTATTGCATACCTCGGCTAGGTCATTAATAACGTCGTAGTATTAAGATTGATTCAGAGACGTGAGAGAGAGACGAACGCGACACAGCGTCCCTTGCCGATTTTCTCTCTCGCCAAAGTTTCTCGCAATATTTAATCAGCAGTCGAGGCCATACATTATGTTGAACTCGCTGTTTCGTCTTGCTCGCGCGAAAGTGTGCGCGCGTATTCGCGGCATACAGCAAGTCGTTAACGCGGTTAACTAAATTGCATTAGCCGCAGCTAAATGGATACGCCGGATGTACAAGCGAAAGACTTATCGCGCGCGGGCGCGCGCACACACACAAAAAGAGCGTCTTTATCGGAAGGTTACGTCGAATTTCTCTCGATTATCATTATTTGCACGTACGATCTCTCGCGCGCGCTCTCTCTTTTCTCGGTTTCCTTCCGAAAGAAATCGCGCGCGTCGCGTTTCCAAACGCTCGTAAATCTCCGCGTTACGATCTCACGGAGTTTTTCTTTTTTTATGATCATCGAATCGCGAGAAGATTTTCGACCGTGATGGTGGTGGTGGTGGTGGTGGTGGTGGTGGTGACATCAATATCGAGAAGCAGCCGTTGCGCCGTCGTGCCGTTTGCGCGAAAATTCGCGAATAACAGTTATTCATTAGAACGGCTCCGGGGTTCTCCCCGGGCGCTTCGGAATATAACGATAATCCACGGTAGCGACCGATACGGTAAAATTGCGAAGCTTAATGGCGGTAATACCGTCGTGGCCGAGCCTTGTATGGCGTTAATAATGCAGTATATTGAGATTGGTTTCGCGAGACCTGAGAGAGGAGAGGAGGTCCGGAGAACACGGAGGCAGCGGAACCACAGGGACCTGACCCTAGGCATCCGCCCAAGTTATTCGCTCCCTCCCTCCCCGCTCCCCACCCTCGCCGCTTTAATAATATACCGACACGCGAGTGCGGGCGGACTCTGTCAGCTAATATAAAAGGAACAAACATTTACGTTTTATATTCGAACGATGCAGAACACTCGAGCAATTCCTTTCGCGTTTATTCTTATCCCGCTTTCATTTGATCGGCGCGCGCAACGATTTTCTTGCCCGTGCGTCGTTCGAAGATTACACGCGCGATATCAAAAACGTTAATCGCGTACGTACGTGACACGCAGCAATGAAAATCTACGCGATGAACTTTTTAATTGTAACAATATATTGTTCAAAAACAGATTGTGTAAACAGCTATTGTAATGCTCGAAAAAAAAAATTGCAAATTGTATTATTATTTTAGAAACGCGAAAGACGCGTGTGATGCATTACCTCGATTTAGATTCCCTTCTATCTCTCGGTGTGATAAGTTTAACGTTTATTGGTTTTTTTTCTCAAAGAATAAACCGCACCTGCGGCACCGCGCTGTTTAGTTCGAGACGAAAGTTGAAAAAAGAGAGGCGAGAAAGCGCTCTAAGATTCTACGATTTGGGAATGAGATACGGGAATGAGATAATGAGTTTGTCTCTACGTGGAAACGGTTAGAAGACCACAGAGCGGCATAATATTGATTTTCTAAGTCTAAGAGGGGAGGGGAAAAAGAAGAATGCATATATATTTTGATAAAGGTTCTCTCACCTTCTTTGTTGGCGCTGCTCTTGATCTCCGTCGCCTTCGGTACCGGCGATGGCTTCGGAATAGCTGAAATAAAAATCGTTCGTCTTTAATGACGTCGTATAACCTCTTAAATATCGACCAATAAATTTTAACCCGCGAACTCCCGCGTCGCCGCCGTCTTATTCATATTTTAACTGGGGTCATCTTATCTCCGCGCGGCGGGAGAATTGCACGGCGGGAATATAACGTATAGGAGGAGGATAGAGCGCGGACATTTTCACCGACGATTTAAACCGTGCCGATTTACTGCTGACATCCACTCGGCTTTAAATAAATCTTCGACTCACCGACGAAATTAAACAAAGGCTCAAGAATTCGCGATTTATGATGGTCGTTTTACTTTTAAATTATTCACGTCACGAACAAGCGCGCTCACGTCGCGGCGTGATATCCCGTATAGCAAACACCGCGCGAGTAGACGCATAATGATAACGGTCAGAAAAAAAATTGTCTGTCCGAACACAAGCGGGGCTAGAAAATGCACGTCAGCTTACCATATAATCTGATAGATCCCTCGGTCTCGCCCAGCGAGTTTTTGCTAATACACCGGTAGCTACCAAAGTCGCTCGATGTCAAGTTCTTGATGGTAAGTTTCATGCTCGTTCGGTAGCTGCTCTCCATGAAAGTCGTCGAGTACTTCTCGTTGGAGAGAATCATCTCGTCTCCCAGAAACCAGTAATTCATAGCGCGCGGATAGGCTTCCGTTTGACAGTCGATCGTTACGTTGGTGCCGACCGGTGCGCCAACCAGCTGATTCGGTACGAAGATCATCGGAGAGACTAGAGACATTAAGAAACATAATAATATAACTATTGTAAATTTTGCAATTAAACAAATTGTGTAAAGCAAATCTGTTTTGAAGATCCGAAAGTTTTAGAAAACCTTTATGGTTGTTGTTTGTTTTTTTTGCACACAAAAAGCGCAAGTTTTATTGACGCTCGTGAAATAAAAAAATTCGTAGTTTCACAGTCGCTCTAAACGCGCGCGCGCGCGGAACAGTCATTTTGTTTAACACGGGGGGAAAAATTCTAAACTTTACACAACACTCGGTTTATCATCCGCAACTTACGTATACAATCGCAACGCGATAAAATTAAAAACATCGCAGCGACGTGCCGGATGATATTAAGTTTTCTCGTAATGCGGGACGAATCAAGCTTGTACTTCCGCGGGATGGCGTTTCGCAAAATTCGCCGCGGTCGGGAAACGAGTTGGGAACAAAGTCTATTATATGGTTACAAGTCTAACGGCGGCGTTAAGGTTACGCAATGAAGAGTTAAGGCCGTGCGAGAGACAACGTCGAGCGAGGGGGTGACGTTCCATCTTTACTTTCTTCGCAACGAGCGCGCGCACCATTCCGGACGAACAATTTTCTAACTCGGCAACTAAACCAGGAAACGGCTCCTTCTTCGTTTCGAATTAATCCGACGTCGGATGCGCCCTCGTATACGCGGCGACGTCGGTGCGCGCTTTGGTAACGGGGTTAAATTAAAGTTGTTGAACTTCGCTGCGTCGGGGTATGTGATACAATAAGGGAATAATAATGCGCTCATAGACGGATACCGATGTAAAACGACACCGAGAGAGCTCGTTACGTTTTCTACTTAACAGGGAACGGGGGAAAGAAATCGTATCCTGTGTGTTTCGGCCGTACAAACGATATCGCGCGCCTTCCATTCTTCCGTTTTAAAACTTCCTATTTCTTTACTGATTGCAAACGATATCTTTTGCACGACAAAAAGAGAATTTCTTTTTTTAACCAGTAAAATCTGCGTTACGCAACTTAGAACACAGACATTCGCTGTAAAATACATGAGAGAAATTTAAATAACGTTTTAGATAGAATATTACAAACACGCGTCGATGTACAAAACTTTCTGCTTTGCGCTATCTCTTGTCCGGCAACGGACAATAAGGGAAATGCAACGGTAGTTTGGGTCCAAGCGCTGCGCAGATACAGACGTAATCGATGGTGGGAAATAGAGAGAAGTGTGCATTAATTAAAGTCAACGCTGGCAATTTGTGGATTTGTGGTAAGCCGGAATGCGCGCTACGGTGCGCGCTGATGTATAAGCACGGTCAGATGATCATGACTTCGCGAATGTGAATCGTTTATTGTGCGCGTTGTCGCTCGTTGTTAATAACTTTAGCATCAACGATTACGCGCAGAAAGACGCGAAACAAAAGTTTTAGTATCACGCCGATTTCACACGTAGGAAAAATCAGACACGCGGATTTAAACGTGGACTTATTGTTAGCACACAAACTTCCTTCACGTAATTTTGATAAACTGTAAAAAAAAAAAAAATAGAACATCGAGATAATTTGTAATTAACAGTGTGAGAATCTATTCGCAATTCGTTGAGATTATATCGTCAAAGCTCTAACTGCAATATTATATCCCGCTCGACTATTCTTTTCAGCATCTGAAACGAAACTGTACGGCAGCTTTCTGTCATTGTGTGCTTTCTGTCTTTGAAGCGTGCAGGTTTAATGCTCGATCCAAATAGCGTTCTCTTGTCAATTACACTCTCGTCGCGGGATCTTGTCGTATAATTCAGCCATACGTCATACTCGTAATTACACGCTCAATTGAAAAAAAAAAAAAAAAGGTATTATATTTTGCGGCGGAACGATAGAGAGTTTTCCCCGCTCCTCTTATCGCGATCGCACACCGACACAACGGGAGGCGCAAATGCGTGAATAGTCGCGTTTTTACGCGAGCGCGCCACAGAGAGCGACAGAGAGCAAAAATGTACACGTAGTAAAGTAAAAAGTCAACCCGCTAAATTGTGCACGTCTCATCAACATGCCTGATGAACTAGGCTCGCGGAGAGACGCTCACGGCACGTGAAAGTGGTGCATACCAACCGAATTATGTCTCTCAAACCCGCGCACGAGTTTTCTCTTTCCGCTCTCGCTATGCTTTATGCGGTCGCGTCAGTTTTGTCCGCTACGTACTGAAAACGCTATGCGCGAATGCGTACCGCGCATTTGTGCCGATTGCGGAAGTTCTGAAAAATCATATTCCGTTTCGCAACGTGACGCGTTCTCTCTTCGCTCTCTGCGCGTTTTAAATTAAAAAAAAAAACATACCTACTTTTTGTTGTATTTCGAAATTGTCAAAATCTCCATTTCGCTGTAAATTTATATATTTCGAGCTTGTTTTTTGCGTCATTGCTAGCGAGTTTGTTGTAACTTTCTTAGAAGAAAGTTAAAAGTTTCCATGTGAGCAATTAAAAATAAAAAATATGAAACCTGATCAAGTGAGACGCAATTGTGGTGCTTCACACGCTGCTGTATAAATTTCATTTTCTATTTTGCAATATTGCACTAATGGACTAATAACATCGCGTAATGACTTGTGTTATGTACACTATTAAAGCACGAAATAGTATCGACGCGTAATTCAACGTGTAAATCACTTTGTTCCGCCCGTTACATTCCTATTTGTTTCACGATTTCGCAAATGTGGAAAAACATCGTGGAATGCTACCGCTTGAGTGGTTAAAATTTACGCGATGCCTCTCTGGAGATTTGACATTGTTTGAGAACGCCAGACGGTTGTTGGACTCTGATTCCGGAGGAAGCCTCGACGTCTTACATTGATCGAGTAGACGCTCTTTTCGTTTCACACTTTTTATCGCGCAAAGTCTGTTGTTTCGTTATTTTCTTTTATCACGCGCGGAAATTTGTTATTGGAGAAGAAACAAATCACAACTATTTGTTCTAAATTTTAATAATTTTTGAAAATGAAATTAGATTTAATTGTATTTTTTTCTTTTGAATTGAAAGCGCGCACGCTATTATTGTTTTTATTTTAACGTGTTGTATAAGTGTACACAACACGTAAAAAATCTGTCACCGCGATGACAGCTATTGTATACGTCTTACAAACCATATAATACACACATGAGAGATGTCAGAAATAACGCATAAAAATCACACTCAAAAAATAGTGAGAGGAAAAAGTGGAAAAACAACACGTGACTGTACTTGAGTCACGTTTTTCAAGTCACGTGACTAAAGTACAGTTACGTGACTGTAGTCACGTGTTGGTTTTCCACACTCCTCTCTTTTTCTATTTTTCGAGTGTGATATTTTCATGCAATATTTCTGACACCTCTCATATATGTATTATATGGTTTGTAAGACCGTGCTTTGTTCCGTTTCTCTGTGCGTTGGCGAGTACTGTGATATTGCTCCATGAAAATTTTCTCACTTCTCAATCACATGAATTTCGCGTATAAGAGGCACTACTGTGTCTCTTGATTCGTACGACACGAATTGAGAAACACATTCGAGAAGCGTCCAATCGAGATAAAAGTGGCAACAATCAATATCGAGAGTATCGATTGTGATTATTTACACACGCTTTTTTTCTGGTAGGAACTAGCACAACACAGGCGTGCGCTACGCGCACGCTATTATTGCTTTTATTTTAACGTGTAGTGTGAGTGAACTTAACCTGTCACCACAATGACAGCTAATATATATGTCCTACAAACAATATAATACACATAATGTACATATGAGAGATGTCAGAAATAACGCTTGAAAATCAAACTCAAAAAATAAAAGAAAAAAGGGAGAATGAAAAAAAAACACGTGACTAAAGTCTAGTGACAGGAAGGAGTAGAAAAACACCATGTGACTAAAGTCACATGACAGGGACAAGAGTAAAACAGAGAATATTATATATATTATATATAATATTTTATACCTATATATAATAGACACACACATATCTATATATACCATAATCACGTGAGTAAAGTCAGTGACCTCGCCGCGGTCACGTGACCGAGGTCAATGACTCCACCGCAGTCGCGCGACCGAGGTCATTGACCCCACCAAGGCCGCGCGCCCGAAGTCAGTGACCCCCCCACCAAGGCCGCGCGCCCGCGGTCAGTGACCCTCCCACCAAGGCCGCGCGGCCGAGGTCAGTGACCTTACTAGTAGTATGTACATAATATATATAATATACAATATAAAGTATAATATAAATATATAATAAATTATATGTATAATATATATTATTTAATGTTATATATAATATAAATTACAATCACGTTACTTTAAATAGTCACGTGTTGTTTTTCTACTCTTTTGTGTCAAGTGACTTTAGTCACGTTTTTAATTTTCTCCACGTATACGACGAACTGTCAAAATCGCTTTTCTGTCATTATTTACTCTCTCGATCTTACCGATTCGATTCGACTCGACTCGACTCGATCAACCAACTAATCGGCAACGCGGAAAAGAGACAACAATAGATGCGATACATTAGATATCAAAACGCGCACTTCGCGGTACATATGGATTTTTTATATAGGAGGAGGAAACTTCAAAGTAAATTTAAACTGTATTGATACAGATGTAACTTGCGTGACAATTCAAACGGTAATATGTTTTATTAAAGGTTGTTCTTCTTACAGCGGATATTTGCATGTAAGATATTGCTGACTGGAAGTGACAAAAAGTTGTAGAGTTGTCGAAATATAAATTTTAAAGATAAACGCAGCGAATCGAAGCAAAACAATCTCACATCGATAATTAGATCGCGAGTCGGGAACTTAGCTCGTACTCGTCGTTACGCTCATTTGTGTTTTTACACAGGACGATGTTCCGTGAAAATCCCTACGTGCATGTAACATATGCGCGCGATGGCATCGGCGATGTTCGAGGGGCGCGCGCGCACGAAGACGAATTCTGGAGCTTTCGCTACGACCCGGAACGCGGCGCAGAAAACCGATGTTTCACCCGGCTCGTCTAAATAAAATATGTCCCCCGCCTCCTAAATATTCAGGAGATACTGCCTCTGGTCTGTGCCGTGTGCGCGTATAACCTGGCGCTTCTTCTTTCTTCAACGGCGACGGGGAGAGGCACGCACACCGATGCCGACGTGCAGCGCGCGGTTGCGAGCATACGAAGTGACACGAACGAATGAAACGCATAAAAGGGAAAAATGACCAGGGCCGACGGGACGGCTTGCGCGCGACTTCCAGTATTTCCCCCGGGCTTTCCCGTCGGCGTTTTCCCTCTGACGCCCCTCGCGGCTCTTCCCGCCCACGCCTTGTTGTTTCTGATGCACGTATCCGCAGCGGCGGAGCACGTGCGCTTGCTGCTACGCGGCAACGTGTGTACACATGCGCGGTTATATGCGCCTGTGCCTGTGTGTGTGTGTGCTTGAACGTGTGCAATTCGTGAAATGAAATTTAAACAATACACGAGAGCGTGTTCCGCCGTCGGATCGGAGGTCGCGTATGACAAAGTGTTTAAAATTTATTCGATAAATCGTCGTTGGATACGTTCCAACCGGCCCCAGGATGCCTAATTTTCGCGCGCCGTTTCCACGAGAAAGTTCTCGCGCCACACGTGCCGCGACAGTATTTACGATATTTTACACTTGAGCGAGTGTCGGAAAGTTAAGATATTTTATGAACATTTGGCGGCATAGCAGTTCGCCGCGACCAATTAACATAATTTATTGCGGCAATTACACGTTCCCAACATCTGCAAAATGCTATTGTTTTGCACTTAAAAATGCCGTTAATATGCGTCGTATTTTTTTTTCTTTTATTTTTCGCATATTATTGCGGAATTTGCCGCTATTATTTGCATCGACATCGGATTCTCCGACGGTAATTACGCGATAATTACGTTATTAAATTTTAATGATATGTTGTTTGGCAGAGATAACACTTCATCGTGATACCTCAGATATGCGCATTTTGAGCGCAATTCTTGCGCAATTGAATGCATCCACGTGTCGTTGAAGCACTTGTTACTTAATAAACATTGCTTATTGAACATTCAGTATAATGTAACAATGTGAAATTTATAATTATTGCATTACGTCGTGCCTCTATCGTGTTACCGCACTCGCGATGAATACGCGTTTCTCATATTTGTTACATACGAAACGGCGGCGATAATAATGCGCGCGCTGTGTGCGCGTGTGTGTGTGTGCATACGTATCTCAACAAACTCACATTCGACATCCACGGTGATCCTCTTGCTGACCGTGGGCGGCACGCCGTTGGTCGCGATGCAGAGATAAGCGCCCATTTCGTTGCGCGTGATCTTCGTCAAGTTTAATTGCTCGCCATTAAATTTGTTCACTGAAACCAGAAACGAGAATTTATTTAAGCTTAGAGGGCGCAAATATAGTTTCGGGAGAAACGGACAGATATCTTCGCAGTAAATGGGTAAACACAGCGTTTCATCCTCGTTACATCTCGCGAGCGGAATATGCGCGTATTATGTAAATAGTTCGACTTGAAATTGAACAATTAAATCCGTAACTTAGCCGCTGCGCAGCTTTCAACTCTCTGCGCGGGATGAGAATATAATTACGGAGAGGAAAGAGTGTTACCAGATAAAATCTCAGAGAAATTTGTTATTATTTTATTTACGCGACAAATGAATATATGTATATATATGTATATAGAAGCACATAGAAGAAGTGATGAGTATTGAGAACTTAAAGCGACACAATTACTACAAGGATTACGCAATAAATTGGATGACGTCGAGTACACACACCTATCGATCGAGATGGGAAACTTTATGCCATAACGAAGTAAAGTTACAAGAACTCGGAATGTGTTTTTAGTGCTGCGTGATTTATGCTCTCGGATATCTACTTTGGTCTATTACGGAAGTTCGCGGGGAAACCTGGAATGTGTGTGTGTGTGTGTGTGTGTTTGTGTGTGTATTTTAGAGAAGTAAGATTACAGTAAAATTATAAGAGTCACGAGACGAGAGGGAGAGAGGGAAAGATGTGCAATCAAAGTTAATACTAAAAAGTCGCTTTTTTCATCAAACTTATTCTATTGCGTTAAGTATCTCTTTCTTTTTTCCACTGAGATCTTTCTTATTAGAAAAGTTTCTGCGCAAAATCATTGCGCGATTGTTGCGAAATAGCCCGTGGCCGATAGACGGCATTAAACAACGATTTGCGTGATTGAGATTTTTCGTGGCGGAATTGTCAGCGGGAACAAATGCGTCAGCTTCGTGTTCACGTTGCATTAACTTACGAGAAAACTTGCGACATTCTTTTCTACGAAGAAGAAATAACAGGTACGAGTTAATAGAATGCAGAAAAGAAATGATACACAGAGAACGATCCGTAACAAGAAGAAAAACTTAAAAAAAAAAATGAAAGCTATCGTTATTGCCACGAGACGAACCATTTGCATACAATTTATGAAGCAATGCTAATAAAAGCGATCTGATTTGAAATTATTTGCAACATCCGAAGAAATCTTTAATGGAAACCTCCTCAAAACAATAGATTCTCTCGAAATAGATAAAGAAATTTTTCGTTCCGCCAAATAAAAATCATAAAAATGCTCGTATTGTTTTTCGGTGTCATATTACGTAATTAACAAAAACGGAGAGATATATATGTTGCGTCAATAGAGCGATGTTTGTTTTTTCTATCAAGTCTGCTGCAAAAATAACACAGACAAGCAACCTTAGAATAATTTGTAATATCTTGCACAAGAATTGTCTCTTACTCGTCTCTTACTCGTGTTACGAAACGTGGCTCGTGAGATTTGTAACAAGATGGACTACCTTCTGTAATAAATTATTGATCGACGTGATTCAATTGATGGGAAAACGAAATTCGATAGACTAAGAAAGAAACTTCTTTTTCCTCCGGAGAAATTCGAAAGAAAACAAATTCCTCCTCCGTTATTTAGACATGATATTTATCTTAATGTTTAATGATACACTTCGATCTTTATAAATCTTGTATCGGGTTCTTGCAATTAGCTCGAAAAGTAGCACGGACGAGCAACTCTATAATTCCATTATTTTTAGCATCTCTCGCGCGATATTATTATTTAAACGACTGTTATTCCAACGTTGTTTCATATCTGTGCGAGAAACGTTCTGCGTATTCTCGCTCGCGATAATTGACGGTGAAAATAATCGACGTCACAGTCTTAGTTGGCACGACCTCATAATGACAATTAACGAGAATCGGGAACGAACGCGATCCATAAAAAGATGCTTCGTGAAGCATCGGCGATGCATCCCTGCCTCGGTGACGCTTATAAATCTTTAGCTCTGGAAGTTACCACGGCTTTGCTTGCCTTCTAATCGCTATTAACCAACCTCTGGCCATTAAAGCGAGCTGCAATGTTTCTTTCACAAGACACATGCTCTGCCAAGCACGCCTTGCCACGTATTGTAGTCACCGAGAGAGAGAGAAAGAGAAAGAGAAAGAGAGAGAGAGAGAGAGAGAGAGAGAGAGAAAGAGAGAAAAATGTACATATACAGTAACACCGCCAATTGGTAGAGCAAGGCCGATCGATCGCCGCGAATAATTGAGAGGACGCGCGAAATCCGAGAGCGCTGGCGGACATCAAGTGACGTGATAACAATCGGCCGATAAAGCGTTGTGCGCAGCACCGCAAACGATCGCCGAGTGGCCGGATATCCGTGTGTAAAAGCGGGAAAAAAACATTGCCAGAGACCGTAAAAAACATATTTCTTCGATCGGCGTGAGCAAGGCCGCGCGCGATCGATTTTCCCGCAAATGACGAACGTGAAAATTTTCATCTTCATTTTGTTTTCACTTATGTTAATCGTTCCGATTTGACGTCTGTCGTGAAAGTGCGTCATATAATTGATGATTAATCGCACATTATATATATTCAGTCAGAAAAATACAGAGATAAGATCTTGCTTTATTTAGAGAGAGAGAGAGAGAGAGAGAGAGAAAAAAATAAAAACTACAAATAAAGTAAAAAACAAAATTTAAAAAATAATAAATATTATGAAAACATTTGTATTACACCATTATATTACCTATTATATATATATGCCCATACATCCATCCATCCAGACATCCATTAGACATCTATTAGATGTCGCATGGAGCTGTCGACGTCTAATGGACGTCTAATAGAGTTTTTGTTCTGTGTGGGTGTATATAATATATGTATATATATATAATATATATTATAAAATGTATATGTAATATATTACAAATATAAAAGGAGAACATCAAATTCCAATCATGATTTTTTTATTTTATCCAAGACGAAGGAACAGATCATTGACCGATGTCGAGCAGAGACCCACCCTTCGAGCAGCAGAGGCCTCTTTTGGTTCCGAGGGGATGCAATATGTTGGATAAAATATTTGCAATGAGTTTTTGATCGTGGCAGCGTCGGTCCTCTCGATACAAGTTCATTTCGCCATCAGCTCATCCGATATTAATGTATTCGTTCTTCCACAAGTCCGGGAATATTTAGATAGCGGGTAGCTCAAAGCTCGGATGCAAATCGATACATCGGATCGAAGCAAACATTGATAGTTATTTTTCACGACGATTCGTAATGAAACTTTCACTCGGTCGTATAAAGGTTTTATACAGAGGCAAAGGAGCAATGCGCATGTGATAGATATAAACATATATACAGATTGTTGCTGCTGCTACTGCGCAGCACGCGATATTAATTATTGGAAATACATGAAAAATAGATTTTTCTTCTTTTTTTTTTTTTTGTTTTACAAAGAGCATGTTGTGTGAGCTGGGTGCAAAAAAAAAAAAAAAAACAGGAATCCTCTATCGGACAGCTTTGTGAAATAATATGCGTTCACCAACGTGTACGACACCGCCGTCAAAAGAAATCGTTAATAATACACGGTAAAAGTATTGCGTGGATATATTCAACCGGCCGCGCAAAAGAACGCTTTTGAATATGCGAACTCACGACTGAATTGGTAGTGTACAAAATATAGTAAACAATTCGCGATACGTAATATTGTGAAGAGAGAGAAAAAGGGTGAGGTTCAAAGCGTTTGTCGATACGTGAAGTCCATTTGAATATGCATTACGCGCGCGATATCGTTACAATGACACTCGCGCGCGATAGAAATAATTATTCCCATTTGCAACCTCGCGATAATCAGCTCGTAACTCAGAGCTCGGCCTTAACACGTCTCACCGTTCGACGCATTAATCTTTTAAGGTCTTTTCCATTTTATATCTCGCTCGTTAACGACCATCGACCATCCGCTGTAGAGTTGAGAGGAACGAGGTGTAAGTACCTGTGAAAGAAGGACAAGCGCGCGCGGGAAAACGACGGTGTGAGACACGTATTAATAAAATGTCGAGAGACTAATCCGTGAAATTTTACCGCGTCACGATCCTCGCGCTGATGCGAAGCGCGCGCGCGCAAAGGGTATTAAATAATATTACGAACTATAACCAGGGGGTTGGGATGGGTACGTATGCACGAGCATGCATATGTACCCACCCTGCCGAAAACTTGGAGGATAGTGCGCGCGCGCACGGTCCTGGTGCTCCGTCATGAATTTGTATGAAGCTTTAGAGGGGCTCAGATGCCCCGGAGCGCGGCTTTGCAGATGTTTGAACAGAAATTCCGGCCTTTTACGATCCTGCGGTGCGCCGGTGCGAGTAGAACGTCCGTGGAGGACGAGCACGGGAAGAGGCGAGAAGGTGGGATCTCGCGCGGAGAGGAGTGGGAAAGGTTATGAAAGGATCGTGAGACCAGACGCGCGAAGACAGCGCGAAATCGCTGATAAAACCGCCCGCGTAACAAAGAGTGTAGTTGGACCGGGAAATTGCGTCGGATATCGGGATTAGGAAACAGATCGCGTGCTGCAAAATGCACGTGTTTTTGCGCGATAATCAGATCGCGACTTTGCAAAAAAAAAAAAAAAAAAAAAAAAAAACAAAAAAAAAAAGTTCACCTATATCACCCCGCGATGTCCATCTTCAAGCCGTTAGATT